TGTAGTATTGTATAAATGAGTAAGATTACAGCGGTTCTCATATATGGTAAAGATTAAAAAAAAATTTAAATTGTTATTTGCTGATCACATTTTTTTTTAAAAATAGTTAATGAGAGAAATATAAAACGTGGCAGTAATTACTAATTTATTGCGCGAAATGTGAACGTCAAGCACGCGAATAATTTCTGCAACCAGCGACCCACTTAAAAACTGATGAGTTTTTTTGTTAACGATGTCGATTTGGTTTCTCTGTACAGCTGTAATGTTATAATCAATTAATTATTTTATATGTTATAGCAATTAATATTTTGACATTAGAACATTATATCAGTGTTTGTTTATATAATTTATAAATAAATCACAAAAAAGGTTTTCAGAAAGATATGCATTTTGTAATGTTTTCATTCTCAACACGCATTACAATGTGATATGCTGATATTTTTTATATGCCAAAAATTTATAAGGGCGTAAATGTATAATAAATAATAGGTTGAAATTATCTTCCATGCTAGCAAAATTAGTTAATTATAGCCCACGCTATAAACATACAGATCTAAACTTGATTTTATATGCACACTACAATGTTTTTCATGGGACGGTGTGGCCTAGCGGTAGATAGCTAGACTGCTAACCCGTGAGTCTCGAGTTCGTATCCGGGTTCAAATCAGTGGAACGTCCCTGAGTCCACAGAGCTCTGATGGGTAACTAACTCACGTTAGAGAAACAAAGGCGGCTAGGCATAGTGCTGACCACAATATCCTTTACATGCCGAGGTCAATGAATCAGATAAACTATATTTCTCGTCTCCCACGTTTTGGGCACGACGAGACTAAGAAGACTTTTTTTTTCAGACACGAATTGCCTAAATAATGGTTACCCGTTACCTTGCTAATGTTTTTTTTTTTACTATCCTCAATATTTTTTAAGAGTAGGAACTGAAGAGTGCTTTTAACAATGGTTTTATAAAAATCCATGTTATCTATGTAGGATATGATTTGTGTACCTTACATGTAGAAATAAGTAGAGGTGTAATGTATATTTTAACAAAGTACAATGCACATTTAAACCATACTTTACGACTTTTTGAAAGTTTTTGTGTACTCCGAAAGTTGCAATAATTAATGTGGAGGTGTTGTAGATTTGAACAGATAATAGATAAAATTTAGTGCAATTTTATTTCTTTAACATAATTTGTGTACACATAATTAATGTGGAAATATGGTGTAGATGCAATGCACATTTTTACAGACCGTAAAATAAAGTGAATATTTTATTTTTTTTGAAATCATGCTTAGTAACTTTGTGTGTACTCTGTAAAATTCATAAATGTAATGTAGATTCTTACAGATAACAAAATATAGTGTATAATGTAATTTTAAAAACAAATTATGCGTACTCTTAACCTAGAAATATATGTGGATGTCATTTACATTTTTACCGACCGTGAAATAGAGTGAATATTTTCTAAAAACCATGCTTGGTGACTTTTTGTGTACTCTGGAAATAAATGTAGTTGTAATGTAGATTATTACAGACAAAATAAAAAATATAGCGCATATCGTAATTTTAAAAACATATAATTCTTACTCATTAATGTGGAAATATATGTTTATGTAATTTACATTTTTACCGACTGTAAAAAAAAAAAAAAAAAAAAAAAAAAACCTTTTTTTTTCTAAAACTACGCTTCGTGACTTTGTGTGTATTTTTTAAAACATATTCTGTCTATCTTCATGTGGAAATATATGTAGCTGTAATTTACCGACTGTAAAATAAAGTGATTTTTTTTCTGAAACCATGCTTTGTGTACTTTTTCATGTACTTTTAGTATGGAAATAAGGGGACAAAAATGGCCAGACTCGAACAATGAAGACAGAGATGGTGAAAGTGAAAGCAAATACAGCAGCTCGCTGGAGCCACGACGCGACGACAGCTTGAGAAGATGGTGGTAAAAGTCAAGCCATATTTTCCCCCCTCACGAAGCCCTGACCCGCGGTAAAAACAAAGCCCCTGCCATGTTTGACCAAGATTTGAAGGATTATGTCCCCTCTCTGGTCCTTGGGGCGCATATTGTCATGCGCACAAACGGAAGTGCTTCCGGGGCATTATGACATGGGGCTTGAGTCTTCGGTGAAAACTATGTGGAAAATATGCCATCGGAGATAGTTCTGAGCTTGGAGGGATTTTGTTTTCGTTTTTTTTTTTTTTTGGAGTCTTCCATCCATTTTATAATAATGTAAAAACAATGTGTTAAGAATTGTCCACTGCTTATACACGTTTTCTTTATATACAGCTGGTATTCAAAAGAGAACAAGTTTTAAAAAAAATTAGTTTACAATCTATATTTTGGTGTTAGACCTACTTCCATAACGAATTTTTCCTCATCCAATTTCAGTTTTTACCAATGACTGTACCTTTTAACTTTAAATACTGAAGTTTTATTCTAAAAACGCTGTCATGGCATAGTGATGTTGAGGGTTTTTTCTTCTTCTGCGGATATATCTATGACTAGTCTTCGGGTCTAAGCTAGCATCATAAGTATTGTTAGAGTTTATTTCATACATTTTTCTTAAGAGGGGGGGGGGGGCAAGGAGACTTGAAACTTTTCAAGGGGGAGCACCTATATTTCCTCTGGGGGGGGGGACACTGGTTAAAGTTTATATTTTCTACATAAAATAAATTATTTGTCTAGTTTGGGGGAGGGGGGGGGTGTTATTCCCCTATCCCACCCCGAAGGAAATCTCTTCCTGAAAGAACTTCCTATCACCATTTACAGAAAACTAGTGAAAATACAACGCCACGTCGATACATTACGGAACAACTAGCCTCAAATAACTATTTCTACAAAACCAGTCAAGATACAAAGACACAATCAGGCCTAAATATATGCTTCAACATCAACAGTAACAGCTTTCTATGGTCAGGTAATAAACCGAAAGGGGATCAGACTGACCCATGCACCAAACTAATTCCCTTATCTACCAAGGCAGACTCGCCTCATAAATATAACCTTACTTCAAGAAAAAACCCTCCATTAATCTAACTGGACTTAAATTTCACACTAGTACACCCAGTCAGCTACCCACCGCGCCCCAAGAAAGAAAAAAAAATCCCCCTCCATCTTTACACAAGACCCCCGTGGACAGATCTCGTCCTGATAGAACACCCCCCTCCCCCCTAGCCGTCCACTCGTGAGCTACAGAACTTGATTAAAGCTCTCGTGAAGGGCCCGCGCGGGAGAGGCTCAGTAAACACAGTCTAAGGATAATCTAGTTAGCTCACAATTATAGAAAATCCGCCCTTCTTGGAGGTGCCCCGCGGACTCCCTTCTACTATATCTCCGCTGCGATGGAATGCCGCGGAACGTTTGAAGGGCGAGCGCAAACATAGACGGGAGCACTCTCTAGATTCTCCTGTCTCTTCCATTCAAGTTGCTTTCATGTTTCTTTTTTTTTTTTTTTTCTTCGCGGGCAGACAATTTCCCATCATTTTGACTCGTTTTCACTATCAGCCCATCATTGCGTGAATAGGAACGATATCGTTAAGAAGATGCTAAAACGTTAAATGGAAATCGAGTTTATAATTATCTTTAAGTTAATTAAGTATTGAAATTAATCACGGAATATTTAATGAATATTTGTCTTTGAATACGAAACATTTCGTATCTTTGATATGCTAAACAATATTCATCTATGCATAATCAACATCGCTTTAGCATCCAAGTATAAAACACATAATGTATACTTCAAGTAGAAGTAACATTATTTTATTAAAATGTATTTTTACTATTTCAGCACTAAACACTTATCTTATCCATTAAAGTAAGAGACAACAAAAATGAATATTTTTAGGCTACATTTTTTTATCCCTAAAGAAGAAAAAGACAAATTGTTTAAAACATTAGAATACCCTCATCTAGTTCTAAAACATTTTTTGAAGGTTCTGAATTTTGAATCCTTTTTGTGTTAAAAGTTAAAAATGCTAAACTTATTTTTAAAAACTCAAAGGCCTGACGTATTTCCCATATATAAAGTTTAAATGTACAAAGTTAAGAGCTATGTTGAATAATAAAATACGTTTGCTAGATAGATCTATTTGTTTTTGTAATGGTGTTTGACCATAAAGCTAAAATACAGCCACTAAGTAAGAAGAGCTTTTATACAATGTTTAACTAGTCAAAGGGACGCAACCGATTTATTAATACATATTTGTAGCCTTCTTCTAAAGTTTTGCCCCTTATTTTAATTTACTTTTAATGTGTAAACAAATATTTCAAAATATGTTGGTTTTTTTAAACATATTAACTAATTAAACCATAAAATGTATTGTTTTTAATCACCAGGTCCCAAGATATGTCATAACCACCCTTCTTAGACAAAAGAAACCAACAAAAAAATCAACAATTTTTGTTATCATTGAACTGGATTTTACTATTTTGTTCCATTCAAAAAATGTTTTCCTAAAAACCATTATTAAAAAAAAAACCTGAGTTAATAAAATTTGTTAAATATGCACCTGACTTTAAATACCAAAAATTTAGGCCTAAATACATAATGTATACATTTTTAAAATGTAAAAAACAAAGAATTTGAATAATTTTTCTGCAATAACAGCTAGGCTACCCAAAAAATCTAGTAGTAGAACTTTTACACGAACATACAACATGTAAGCAATGTCTGAATCATCGGAAAAATGTTTTAAACATTAAAAATAATTTTACATGTGTAAAAGCAAGCATGATTTCAGTGGGAACATATATCTATTTTTATTTTAAGAAGTTCCGTAGCTTTTTTTTTAATGAAACACCTTTAAAATTAAACATTTAATTCAACTTTTTAAATAAGTTTGTCACCACCTGAGAGAGTAAACAAATACTGTTACCACCTTCAGCCTCTGAAAAATTCTTCACATGTAACAAACTTCAAAATTGAGGGGGAAAAAACAGGCAACAGTTTTTAACAAAACAGTTCTTATGATTTAACATAACTTATTATGTCCTGCATATGAATCAAATGTTTGAAGCATTTTAAATCATACTTTTATCCTTGATATAAAATTCATCATAGATAATAATAAAAACATACTTTTTGTGTCTGTCAAGGTACACTATTTCCCATCTGACAAGTGAATGTTTGTTACAACTAGTGCATCAGTCCTCCATCTCTGCAAACCATTGGGCCACTTCATCTTCATCAAACCAGTCAGACTCATCAACCTGTACAAGAAAAATGATTTTTATTCTGATTTAACTAAAGCTGCATAGTGTTATATAATAACTAGGAAAAGTTATAAGTTTGTATGTTATTTAAATTGTTATCAATTTTGTAGGTAATTTAGTGTGATGGTTTAATTTTAAGTAACATTTTTCATTCTGTAAATCAATAGGTTAAATAAAATAATTCATCTAATTTGATGACAGGGTTAATGTAATGAAATGAAACTTGAGGAAGCAAAATGGCCTTTTTTTTTCATTTTAGCTATTGATGACTAATTTAACATTAAAATACAGTTGCAAAGAGAAAGAACAAAATATTAATTTTCTTAATGCAGAATTAACAAAATAAAGAAAATAAGCTATGAAAAATGAGGAATAGCTTGACTTTTTATTCAGCTTGTGTGCTGACAAAATAGTTTTTTTAGTTTTGTTTTCAATACATTATCTTTGTGAATTTATTTAATGTAGACCTAAATTGGAAATTCTCAAGGTTTGGTGCCAGTCTCGTGTCCATACAACATCCCTGAGTTCACCCAGCTCTGATAGATATGTGACTCATGTTTAGGAAAGTAAAAGGCCACTGAACTGAAACAGGTCAACTCTATTCCACCAGTCCTATGGATCGTAAGATTCAATAGGATACTTTGCTTACTTACTATCTAGGCCAACACAGTTAATACATAGAGCAAAAGATATTGATATATTAAACTTACTTGTTTGCAGCATTGTGGAATGGGTTGAACAGCTGAAGTATCCAATGTCTGCTCCAAGTGACATGACTGTTCTCTACAATGTAGGTCTAAGGATTGAGCCAGGTTTGACAGTTTTTTCTTCTTAAAGTCTTCACAAGGTGTTGTTTGAACATGCAGTGCATCTGAATCAGGTGGGTTTCCAGAATCTTCCATGTTCATGCTGAACTCAGAGGATCTTTTTCTTGGCATGCTTGGTAAAGATTGAGAAGTAGATTTAGCATTCTCAAACACAGGGGTTCCTGTGGGTTGCCTCTGATCTGTAGTTGGAGCCAGAGTTATAGTTTTTCCATCTTGATTCATGTTGTTCAGGGGGATTCTAGTGCTGGATGTTGTGTTGCTATTATTTAAGACAGCTGTTGGATCGTGTAAAATGTGGGCTTGATCATTCTCTAAAATTGGGTATGTCAACTCTTTTGATGTCTTATGATGAAAAGAGTCTTTCTTCTCTAGATAGTTTTCAAAAGAATTTATCGTGACATGTGATAAAGTTTTTCTATGAAATTCTTTATGCCTGCTAACATTTGTCAGCTTTTCTGGAACCTCTAAATCATCTCTGTAGGTATTTGTGTTTCCTGTACATGTTTGCTTCTTGCTACTAGTTCCATGTTTCGTAACATCACTATTAGAACTACTACTATATAAAGCCTGTTCTATATTAGCTTGATACACTTGTTTGGCAGATTCAGAATTCTGACCAACTGTTTCACATGGACTAAACTTTCCTGAAGTACAAGACCTATTCCTGACATGATTGGCATGATGTATTTGTTCTGCAGATGCAGAATTCTGACCAACTGTTTCAGATGAATTAAACTTCCCTGACGTACAAGCCTCACTCCTGACCTGAAAGTGTCCTGGTTCAGATATATCTTCCTCTCCACTCTCATAGTTCAGGCTATCTGGACTTAATGCTCCAATTTCTTCAGCATCTAGGCTGTCATCACTAAACTCCCAGTCATCAATGGGCAATTCACTTTCATCCTGCTCATGATGAAATGGGTACACATTTACAGAATAATATTTTAAAAAATCTTCAATATATTTTGTTTCTTTAAACAATTAATGTATTGCAGATGTTCATAGAAAATGTATTTTTAAAATGTATTCAATAAAATGAAATGGCTTATAATTACCTCGGTATATAAACTCATGGAACAATATAGCATATAATTTCATTAGGAATTAATGTATTGCTAATGGCTATGAAAAACAATTGTACTTAAACATTCACTATTATAAAGTGTTTTCAAATTAAAAAAAAAATAGTGATTTTAAAGCATGATGTCATGAATAAAATTCACTATTCTAAAAAAATATTTATTAATAACAGAAAACATCTAAATAAAGAACAATAGAAAGCAATCAATATCCACACAGATATAATTTAAATAAAACTTCTGTCATCACAAAATGCACCATACTTACTTTTGTTGATGGGAAGTACATTTTAACTTGAATATATCATTTTTTAAATAAACAATTTACAACATGAGGGTACTGGGAAAAAAGTTAAACAAAATATGCACATGAAATAGTCCTAGAAAACTAATACTTACATTAGGGTTCTGGTTTTCTGATAGAATACTTGGCTTGGGAACAAGGACATCACTATGGGTGGGTAGCTCTGGGCTATTGAAAGGCACTGGCTTTTTTATCACATTCCAGAGTTTTCTCTCAATATGGTTACACATAGTGATCCTTGAAGAAGTCTATTTAAAAAGAAATATTTAGAAATTGAACAATTTAACTCCCTGATACCAGAACGACATTTTAATTTATCAACTCTTACTTAGCGTTAATTAAATTGTATACCTACAGGGACTAAATTGTTAACTTCTGATCTAAAATCTGTATTTGTGCTTCTGGTGAAGATATCAACAAGAGAATTTGTGATTTCTGGGATCATCTTGACAAATATATCCTCGTCAGAATTCTGTAAAAAAATAAACTTTTGAATTTTTATTTTGTAAAATTATCTCCCTTCAATAAAGCAAAATTAAAGATATAATATAATTAATAGTGGAAAAAATGTTTTAACAAAATTTAACAAGCAATTCCATTTTCACATTAGCTCCCACTGAGTTTTTGAACTATATATATGTTTTATGTATGTTATAATTACTTTAGAACACACTTCCTCTTGATTTTCTTTTGATTTGCCAAACAGCTCATCTAAGCTTGATTTGGCAGACTCTTGAAATATGGAATAAGTACCTTTACTCAAACAATACAGTACTTTCCTTTGTTCTGAAAGAATTTACATTAAAGCACACTTGATTAATTTATTTTACTTTTAAATTGTTTTTTTAATTAAAACAATTATTATTCCTTTCTAAAGTTTTTCACAAGTAAACTTTCCTACATAATATAAAGTATTTAAATTAATTATATTATTAAAATGTAAGATTATATTCCTAAAGTATGTTATTATTATGTAAATTAATTTTAGAGGCATGAAATAAAACTTAGATACCATTTTGCGGAATGTCGTTTTTTGAAATACTCAGTTGATTTTGGTTGCTCAGAACATCATCACCAGTAATGACAAAAGCAAGTGTTAAGTTGAATAGCTCACACTCCTCTGTCCATTTGGGTAACCTCTCTGTATGAAACATTCTGGCCGAGCACTCTGTTGTGTATGATGCTATCAAAGAAAAACAAAACTCTTTAGACTATAACTAGAATACCCGTCATCCCTTGGATAACTGTGGGTTTCGGGGGTCATCCATCAAAAAACATCACGTCTGTCACTCAGAGGCATAGCGAGCCTTCCCGGCGCCCGGGGACAAACTTTTCGATTTTAACCCCCCCCCCCAAGATTTCGATTTTCAACCCCCCCCCCCTCAAACTTTTGATGTGCACCCCCTCCCACCCCCCCCCCCCCCCCACTCAAACTTTCGATTTGAACCCCCCTCAACCTTTCAATTTATTTTTCCAAACCATTTTGGCGCCCCAACATACGTCCCCCCGCCCCCCCCCTCCACCCCCCCCCGCCTCCCCTCCCCCCCCCCCCCCCCGCCTCCCCTTCCCCCCCCCCCCCCCCCCGCCTCCCCACCCGCCCCCCCCCCCCCCCCCTCCTCGCTACGCTACTGCAGTGTCACTTATCGTCACAAAAACAGAGCCCACATTCAAAAATATGTTTCTTATCTTTTAAAAACACCGAAAACACCGATTTCGGACTATCCCTTCATATACTGACGTCACATGTGACCTACTCAACTCTACTTCACCTGCCCAGTGTCCCGCCAAGTCTCAGACAACATGTTTTTATCGTTTAAAAAACGATTCCAGCCGAGCATGTCTCTGACCACACTATCCTTTCATATGGTTAGGACAAAGAAACAGATGAACTCTACTTCACCTGCCCTGTATCCTGCCAAGTTCAGATAGGCAACTTTATCATTAACATCTAAAAAAAAAAATTGAAAAAAAAATCATTTTTTATCATTAACATCTAAAAAAAAAAAAATTGAAAAAAAATATCATTGACATATTGGTCTAGAACTAGTACTACTCGCATGAGAGCGGACTACGCTACAAACTTAGCTATTTACTCGTGACGTCACAAATGAATTTTTATACTATACTTTGATGCAACTTGATTTCGAGCGTCTAGTCTAGAAGTAGTAACTTTCAAATTAAATTTTATCTTAAATTAGCCAAACAAAGATTTATATAAAATAATTAAGGCCTGAAATAGATTCTAGATGTATTAAGGCTAAGGCCTGAAATAGATTCTAGATGTAGAATTTACATTAAGTCTAGATTTAGAATTTACATTGAGTTTAGTGATCTAGATCTAGGCTAGATTCATAAATTTCCTTCGACAGCTGATCTTTAGATCTAGAGAAATTTATTGTAAAACTAAATGAAAAAAGACAGTTGAAAATTGATATAAGTGTTGGAACGTAATAAATACAGCAAACGGACGTATTGTTAAAGTTATGACCGACAGAAAATTAGATTTAGAACGCGTTAAACTTTGGAATGGGAACACAATTTTCTTCGATAGACGCCGCCATTTTATTGTACTAAAGAGTCAACAAAAAACTCTGACGTCACTATCAAGGGACGTCACTATCCCCACAAAGTTTATTCAAAGTATTAACATTTTTTTAAAAATACGGTTAATTTAACAATGAATAAATCAATAAATTAATTAACGTCTTTAAATAAATTTGTGATTAACAGTCTGTCTGCATTAAAAAATTATTCTCTACCTACATACTATTTTACAGCTCTCCAGATAGAGCCGAACATATCAGGATACTTGATCAGGCAAACAAACAAACAAAAAAACAAACAAATAAATATTCAAACATGTAAACAAACTTGACTTTTAGTAGTATATAGATGAACAATATTTATACAAAAATCAACCACAAATAGCTTGATTTAACCAATTTAACTACTATAACTTTAAATTACACTTACAACTTTTAAAGTGTTTTTTCACTTGAAATCCAAAGTGTTGCCATTCAACTAATGTATGAGGTGACAAATCTAAATTTTCATTAACAATTTTCATATTACAAGGAAATCTGCTTGAATCATATATATGAATATAAACTTGTAAGGAAAATGAAAAACTATTCTTAATAGAGTTAGCCTTTTTGATGTGGCTAGTATGAATGATATCACAATTAACCTAACATGACAAATCCATATGTTAATTCCCCATTATTGTTTGCCTCACCACTGATTAGTAATTATTTTTGCCAATAACAAATGATACAATGAACATTCATCAACACAAGAGTAAAAGATTTCACTCAATTTGATTTTTTTTGGGGACTTCAATATAGTCTAGAAAAGTTAATTTATCTATGGCAAAACAAATTTTAGGGACAATGTGGTTGAATGATAGAGCTTACATCTGCTAGCTAGAAAGTCTTGAGATCAGATCTTAAGTCTGATGGATACCTAACTAAGGCGGCTGGGCATAGTGCTGACCACACTATCCCCCTGTATGCTGAGGTCATTGAAACAGATGAACTCTACTTTATCTGCCCCTTCTTTCTTTGGCATGAATGAGAAAAGTTGATGATAATAAATTTTGATATAATTATAGTTGTTGTAGTATATGATACTGTGTTATTGCAATATGAGTTTACAATCACAACACAACGGCAAGACATATAGGCCTACTTATCATCTGCTTACAGGATTAGACTTTAATGACAAAATGCATAATTTTTATGATGGTGAAGAAGTTGAATCAAATTTAATTCAACTAATCCAAAGTATCACAGCTGTTAATAATAATTCAATACTTTATGAAATCTTTTTTCAAAACAAATATTATTTTTTAAACAATAATATGATAGGATACTTGAATTTTTCCTGGGATAAAATTTGTTGAGAACATTCTTTTATCCCTTTTCTGTTCTATTCCATGAAGTGGAACAAAGTATGCTATGCAGGTAACAGAAAGGGATGGACCTTCAATCTGGACAGCAGAAGAGGAAAATTTAAACTTCTGGCTACACTTGACATAAACTTCTCCATGTCTGAAATTACTTGACCGTCTTCTGTACCCAGCAAATAAGAACAAGTGTGAATGTGTTTTGTTTAAAAACAATACAATTGAAACACAAAGATTATTACACCATTAAATACATTTTTTTTTTCAAATTTTAATCCATAAAAAAATTGCTACATTTAAGTATATGGGAATTTATGGGATGGCATGGTTGGTGGTAGAGCACATGACTGCTAACTCAGAAGTCTCAAGTTCAGTTCATAAACTAGTCTGTAGGACATCCCTAATCACATAGGAGATCCCTAATGGGTTAGGTGATGGGTACCTAACCCAAGTTATGGAAATAAAACTGGCTTGGCACAGAACTAACCACGCTATTCCTTCATAGGTTGAAAAATTAACTTCTTTATTTTACTTTACATGAGCATTAAATGGCTATGTAATTTGGACCAAACCATTGCCCCTGTACACACTTAATAGGGCTATTTATAAATATATATTTAGGCCTACCTCAATAAGATTTCTTTTCCAGTGTAAACTTCAAATGAATTACAACTTAAGCTGGTGGTGTTACTGAAATAAATTATTTGCTTTTGTAATAAACATCAACAAATTTATTTTAGCTTAATTTTAATATTTTTAATCTAAATTAAATTGGAAATAAAATAAATCAGAATCAAATAAATTGGATTGTTAAACAGTTAAATTCTATTCACATCACTGTGGCATCAATTTAAGTGACTCTTGCTATTCCTTTCCCTAATATAAGAAAGTTTTGACAAACATCATTTTACAGTAATTTCTAAAAATGTATACATACCATAGAGTCAGCTCAAATGAAATCCCTTGATTCATCATGAATGATAACTCAACCTTTAATTATATGTGATGACCCTTCATTTAAAAAGTTTACATTAAACATACAATTTTTTACAGGACACAAGTATTTTAAGTAGAAATAAAATTAGTTTTCATAAGTAAAATATAATCAATTGTGCTTTTTTCCAATCTGATTTCAGTACTGATAATTTCAGAGAAAAACTTAGCCAATTACTTTTGAGCAGTGAATGCACAATAAATAAATAAAAAGTTTGTATAGCTATTTTACTAAATAAGTGTCTAACTTGTGGGTTTATAAACTTGATTCTTTCCAATAAATCGCAGATCTCAATGCTACATAGGGTGATAGAACTTTTATGCATAAAAACCTATAAAAAAAGAAGTTTAATTAAAATTATAGTTTAACTAACAACATAACAAAAATTAATACAATTGCACAATAAGACAGTTAAAAGGTAACAATAATTTTTTTCTAAAATAAATATACCCGCATCTGTATAATAGATTTCATGTCATCTGTTTCTTTCACTGGCTCTTGTTTTTCCGATAAAATTGTCACACAATCAGGAGTACTGGGGTCTAGCCACAGTGCTGAAGTCTTTTTATTGTTGCTTTCATCTACTTCTTGAATAGCCAGATGACTCTCTTTTTCCAAAGTTTGCATTTTACAAATCAGATGTTGTAATGCAGGCATCCCTTGTCCTGAGCATGAGGAGTATTTAATGGGAGTGAACAATTCATATTCATTTTAAATAAAATCACAACTGTGATATATGATATTCATAAAAACAGTTCTATAAAATTACAGATAGGCCTAAATTAGACAGGTCTAACTTCTTTAAATGAAAATGGCAAATTGAATTGTGTGGATTAATTAGCTCAGGGGTCATCCATAAATGACGTCACACTCGTAGGGGGGAGGGGGGTCCGTAATTTTGTGACGATGTGTGATGAGGGGGAGATGGGGTTCAGATGTTGCGCCGTCACAATTTTGCATTATAAAAAAGCAATGTTAGAAAACGAATTTTAGACGTTATTTCGCGTTTTAGATAACTGTTTTAATAAATTGTAATAGTTTAGACAAGATTTTAGAAAAATATCGATTTAAAAAAAAATTTAACTGCAATTTTGAGGTGGGTTGTAGGTTGAGGTGTGATGTCATTTTGGGGGGGGGGGGGTCTGGCTTTTTGTGACGACATGTGACGGAGGGGAGGGGGGGAGGTAAAAATCGTCAAAAAAGCGTGACGTCATTTATGGATGACCCCTCAAAACAAAACAGATTTTGTTTTCTGTAAATAAAACAGACCTCTTAGATAATCCATAAACAACACCAATCTGTTACATGTAGCTGGAAATAAATTTTATTTTAATGTGAAAAGTTATTTTGTGCACACTTCTCAACAAAGGATTTTACACAAACTAAACAAAAATAATATTGGCAATTGGTTGCTTGTGATAAAAAAAATTAAAATTAAAATTACAATAATAAATTGTATGGTGTAGGCTATCTAAAACTGTTTATGCCTACCTTTCACACTAAACATCATCAGCTCATTGTGAGTTGCTTTTATTTTACTTCTTATACAGAGTGAACATTTCAGTGCATTATTAGAACTGATTGAAGCACCACTTCTATAACAGTCTACAAGCAACATTGCATGAAAAATCTGTACAAAAAAAGCATTGTTAGATAAATGTAGACAAGTCATGTTTAGTAAAATCTAGTAGGCCAACAGACATTATTGAAATTAAAGACTTTTCACATTTTGTGATTTAATCTTTTAAAATGTAAATACTAAATATGTCACTCTAATTTGGTTGTTTACTTTGTTGGTGGGTGGGGTGGGGGGGGGGGTACTAAAAGCTGAAAAGGGGTTTACACTAAGAAAAAGTAAGTTACAGTGAGTTTACTTACTATTTAGTAATTAGTATAAAGTATAAGTAGTTTAAAGTTTATGCCTAAATTATTATTTATTAATTAAATAATATTATTAACTTATTTAATTTAATAAACTACAAGGCTATAATTACAAACAAGGCCTAAAAAAGTCCTAAGACCTATCCTAAGAAAATCTGAGTAAGTAGTAGATTCTAGATCTAGATTCTCTAAGTACTAGAAAATACTAGAAATAGATCTACTGTACTACTAGTAAGTACTAAGTAGGCCTTATAACTTATAACGTATAAATATTAGATCTATGTGAGCATTGAACAATTATTTTTAAAAAGCAGGTTTATAAATGCCATGAACCTCATAAATTACGCCAAGCAGATCAGTAACTTCGCTCTCATTTGTGTGGGCTTCAGATGTCGGAACGTCAGAGAGTGAAGTTGGAGTGTGACCGTAATTTTCAGGTAAAGCTGATTTGCATGCCATGCTTGATTACTGCATACTAATTATTCTAGATATAGATCTAGCTCTAGTCTAATATAGTATAGGTGTATATATAGAGTTTTAGACTACTTAAAATAAAACCTAAGAGGTAAAATTAGTTTTATTTGCTTTTTGAAAACCATGTTTACATTTGTTGTCATCATTCGAATGTCGCCATTCATAGTCTGCTACAAAACATTTTTATAAAAGTGGTATCGGAAAAAATATAGAATAGCTCCTGATCTAGATCTAGGCCTATTTGTTTTACAGACGCAACTTGGGCTTACACGTACATAAATGACGTCACACTCGTAGGCCGTAGGGGGGGTCCGTAATTTTGTGACGGTGTGTGATGAGGGGGGAAGGGGGGGGGGGCTCAGATGGTGAGCGTCACTTTTTTTGCATTATAAAAAAGCAATGTTAGAAAACGAGTTTTAGAAAAGGTTTTAATAAATTCTAATAGGAATTGATAAAAATACTCTATGTTGACAGAGTTCTGACAAGATTTTGGAAAAATATCGTTGTTTAAAAAAATTTCAACAGAAATTTAGGGGGGTTGTAGGCGGAGTTGTGACGTCATTTTAGTGGGGGGTCTTGCTTTTTGTGACGATGTGTGACAAAGGGGAAGGGGAGAGGTATAAATCGTCAAAAAAAGCGTGAAGTCATTTATGGATGACCCCTTTAGCAGTAACATTCAAAGCAGGGGCGTAACGAGGGGGGGGGGGGCGGGGGTGCGGACCGCACCGGGTGACACCATTTAGGGGGGTGACACCAAGGCAAAAAATAGCAAAATATATAGAGAAAAACTTGAGGGGGTGCAAATCGAAAACTTGATGGGGGTGCAAATCGAAAGTTTGAGGGGGGGGGGGGTGCAAATCAAAACTTGAAAGTTTGTCCCCGAGAAGGGTCGCTACGTCTCTGGGGGGTGACACCGTTAAGTGCCGCACCGGGTGACACCCGACCTCGCTACGCCATTGATTCAAAGTTCAAAGATTTGGAATACATCATATTTCGTAGTTATTATACAAAATGTAGACTAGATCTAGATCTAGAGTAGAGTAGCTTTCGTTCGACAGCCCATCCCCTTCACTTTAATTATTCATCCTAGACTACATAATAATTATATTTATTGCTAAAGATAACCATTGAAACCAAACGATACATTTATTTCAAAACTGTAGCTCTCAAAGACATTGTTTAAGGGGAGGGGGCAGTGGCGCATCGAGGTCGGGTGTCACCCGGTGCAGCACTTAATGGTGTTACCCCCAGAGGCGTAGCGACCCGGGGACAAATTTTCGATTTGCACCCCCCCCCCCCCTCTAGTTTTTGATTTGCAACACCCCCTCAAGTTTTCCGCTATATATTTTGCTATTTTTTGCCTTGGTGTCACCCCCCTAAATGGTGTCACCCGGTGCGGTCCGCACCCCCGCCCCCCCCCCCCCCCTCGCTACGCCTCTGAGAGGGGGGTGGGTTGACAGGGCCGGCGCTACCTATAAGGCGAACTAGGCGGTCGCCTTGGACGCCATTTCTAGGGGGGGGGCGCAAAAGGTTTAATCGCTATTATCAAAAGGTACCTAATGATTAATAACTTTTATAAAGGAGTAGCGGTCTATTTCGCCACCCAGACGAACTATCAATTCTGCACCCAATTGGTTTCACATAATTGATGTAGAAAACTATTAAATAAGTTCTTAATTTAAATTTCAAACATTTTAATAGTGCTTGTAAGTCTCGTTTTCTCTGACTTTGAATTAGAAATCTGTCCTGGTGTACAGAGTTTTGTAATGACGGGGTGTTCAAAGTATTGTACTTGTTTGGTAAGTTTTGATGACTCGTTTAGATTTCAGAGTAACGGCGGAAAGCTGTTGCTTGTATGGATTCGTAAAGTATCTGAGTGTTAAAGTTTCGTATTTTTTATTTGCCTGTTGTGTAGTTGAAGGTCTGGTGGAATCTGATTGGTAGTAGAGAAATGAGAATGCAGGTGATGAAGTATCGTAGTTCTGGGGTTCGGGAGTATTGATACTTGTGGTATTTAGGTATCGAATTATATTAACTGTTAAAGTAGTATAATAGGTACAGGGAAATCGTTGTTGATTGGGAGTACCGTTTGTAGAGCTTGGTGAAGGTAAACGAGTTGGTGTCGCAGTTCTGGAGCACCGAGTCTAGTTATGTTTGGGCAGTGGCGTAGGCAGGGGGGGTTAGGGGGGGGGGTCATAACCCCACCCCATAGACCCTTCGGTATATATATAAAGTATGAGGGGGTGCAAATCGAAAGTTTGAGGGGGGGGGGTGGTGCAAATCGAAAGTTTGAGGGGGGGTGCAAATCGAAAGTTTGAGGGGGTGGGGTGCAAATCAAAAGTTTGAAGGGGGGGGGGGTGCAAATCAAAAGTCTGAGGAGGGGGGTTGCAAGTCGAAAGCTTGTCCTCGGGTAAAAATTGGACCCCCCACCTTGAGACGATCCTGGCTACGCCACTGTGTTTGGGTATCGAAGTTTGATATGTGTTGTGAATGTAGTAGAGTATATCGAGTAGTCGAGTTTATAGTAAAGTTAGATGATTTTAATTCAGTACGGAACACTCTACAAAGAAAGGTAGGCGTTATCTAGTTGAAAAATCTTTAGTTTTTTAGGAATCTATATTACCACTCTTAAAGTATAATATAGTTTTAAAAAGGATGGAATTTATAACTAACCGTTAACTTTGGTTTTTTTTTCAAATTAAAGTTTTCTTTTTTTATATTTAATCAATGATTCTAGCAATGTCTAAAACAGTTACCCGTGTTTGATTTTCAGAAAGACATCCCTTTAAATAGGGGATCCAAAATTTTAGATTAAGATATTCAGGAAACACTATGCAAAGTATGTCATCAAAATTGAATAGAAGTATGTTATAGTAAAGCTACCATTTTTAGCCTTTCAAACAAAACCTACAATTAAGTACTCAATAGGTAAAATATATTGTTTTCACAAGGCTACATAGCTATTAGAAAAGATTTGTTGTAGTTATAATGTAATGAAATTTAGAGTGGTTTTTTTGTGTTTTTTAATCGTGTCATAGCTACACTTGGTTAATTTAGCAATTCTTGTTAAAGTTATTTCCCTTGAATAAAATTTTATTTGGATTTTCTAATGGGAGATAATTCTTTGCTAAACTTTACATTCATTTCAAATTCCTGCACCTCAGGTTGACCGCTTACATATATTATAAATACAACTTTAAGTTATTATTTGCTACTGTAAAAATTATATAGAGTTCTAAACAAAATAGTTTTGTTTGGTTTTTTTAGCATTATCAAGTTGAAAAACATCTGCAGTAGCCGTTGTAGATTGCAATACTTAATGTTAGCAGACATACAGCCTTAGTCGTAAATTAAACATCTAATTATTTGACTTTTCATATTTTTCACCCTCCCCTAAAGGATTAATATATAACAATTTTAGGCTGGAATCTATAACATTTATAATCTTTTATTTTTCAAAACAAAAAAAAAAAAATCGTTACACAATCACACACTATAGACATTTTACAATTATAACTAAAAACAGTCAAGCTTTGGAACTCACCTTGGGAGGACTGCACAAGACTGCAGTGAGTCCAAAACTACAACAACTTTTTTTTTCCAGTGTTTTTTTTTCCAGACTGTTTTCCCCAAGAGAGGGGGGAGCACTTACAAATTTCTAAGGATGGGGGGGGGGGAAGGGGGGGGGGGGGGAAGCGGCTATGTCGTAAAGTACAAAGTAGACTCGTTGACTTGGCAACAATTTCAATAAAATGTGTTTACGCTTGCTAACTTGAATTTAAGGAAATACTACAAACTTTTGAGACGAAGGAGGCAAGTAAAATTTGATTTTGATGTCTACTTATAACGTCTATGCAACTGATAATAAATTAATATGTCACTTTTAATTAACTGTTTACTTATAGGGCACGTTTTAGTAATTAATTTGTGTGAAAGGGGGCGTTTTAATAAGTTTTGCTTAGGGCGCTAAATAACCTGGCGCCGGCACTGGGGTCTGAATAGCTTTCTGTCGGTGCTTTTTTTTAAAAAAGCATTTGAGATTTAGAAACTATTTATTTTTTAAATCACCGTGAAAAATAGCATTCTTTTATTTATAATGTTATTTTAAAGTTAAAACTCAGTTTCTAACATTATTTTCCAAAATAAAAATTTGTTGTCATACTTGCTGAGTCCCCTTTCGCAGACCACCTTTAAATCAGTATATTGTAGAGTTGCAGCAGTAAACTATTGTGTAGTGGCAGAGGGGGGGGGGTGCAAATTGAAAGGTTGTTCCCGGGAACGGTCGCTACGCCTCTGTGTAGTGGTGCCCTGTTACAAGAGCTTTGGTTTAGTTTCATGTGTTGCATGGCTGGGCTGCCCCTTGCAGAGCTTCTCTGAGTAGTAGAGGACAGAGACAGATGGCAGAAAACTTAGAAAATCAGCTGTGGTGCCCCGATTGGGATTGAGGGATGATTGATTGTATTCAGAAGCGTAGCGAGGGCGAGGGGTGCGGACCGCACCGGGTGACACCATTTAGGGGGGTGACACCAAGGCAAAAAATAGCAAAATGTTCAGAAGAAAAATGCTTTTTTTTTGCCAGTTCCATTACAGTTAAATAGTACACAGTGGCGTAGGCAGGGGGGGTTAGGGGGTCATAACCCCCCCCCCCATAGACCCCTCGGTATATATAAAAAGTATGAGGGGGGGTGCAAATCGAAAGTTTGAGGGGGGGGGGTGCAAATCGAAAGTTTGAGGGGGGGGGTGCAATTCGAAAGTTTGTCCCCGGGTAAAAATTGGAAACCCCCCCCCCCCCCTTGAGACGATCCTGGCTACGCCACTGATAGTGCAAATCGACAATTATTACAAGGGAGTAAGAGTGACACCATGACGTAAACTCGCTAACTATAGAGAAAACAATGCTACATCCAACTGTTTTATTAACACACACATATCTATATATATATTCTTTGTTTCTAGGGGGAGGGGGGGTGACACCACGAAGAGCCGCACTGGGTGACACCAGACATAACGACGCCACTGATTGTATTGAGTGTGGTGTCATGAAGTATGATGTTCAGAGTTTCTTTCAGTCATCTCTTTCGAGCAATACCATCACCCTCCAAAAGAAAATTGTAAAAATTAATACTTTAACAGTGCCCATCCCTCCTCATGAATTTCAATGATCACTCCCTTCCTGATGGTGTTCATTCAAGTGTCATGTAACATTGTGTGTGGTGTCATGAAATTTGATGTTCACTATGACACCATGCTACATTGTAAGGTGTCATGTAACATTGTGTATGGTGTCATGAAATTTGATGTTCACTATGTCACCATGCATCATAATAAGGTGTCATGTAACATTGTGTATGGTGCTGTATAATGTGGTATCATTTAATATGGTGTATTCTGATAAGAACCAAGAAATACAAAAACAATGTTATGATCTGTTATGGTGAGTCTCTAGGCCTACATACAACAAATATTAACTATTAAAATAAAAAACTAAACTCTTATCACATGAGATTCATTTTAATTAAAAAGAAAAAAACTGATTATGCAAAAAGTAATATCTGATTATTCAATTTCTAAATTACATAATTTCACATAAAAGGTAATTTTTAAGGGCCTTCATATATCAGACATAAAAAGTAAAGTACTTGCTACAGGAGGAAAAAATATACTTAAAAATAAATATCTAAAACTTACTAATGAAAAAACTCTAGTCACCTATGTATTACACTTTTACATTACTTTTAAAGTGTAAAAAAATATCTACACACTCTCTCCATATATTCGACAACACACAGACATAAATAATAAACATAACTCATTTTCTAATTGTTATAACAAAAAGAAATATTACATCTAATTGCACAAACAAACAAAAATTTGGTTTAATAAATTTAGTTAAAATAAATAACTAGTAAAATGCTAAGAAAACAGTAAAAAAATAGTTGCAACCATTGATGCTAATCTTACTTGTATATGTATTAATTGAAAAACCAGTACATCTATTCTAAATTAGACTGAAAGAAAAAAAAATAACTGACTCAGAAAGTAAAGTAATGAATTGCGTTATAACGGTTCACTTTTCAGTGATGGTAAAATATTACTTCAGCTTGGACAACACATGACAAATTAGGTAGCTGATTCATACCTTTTAGTGACATTAAGTGTGAATCTACCGAGGAATAAGGATAATATTGCAAGGAAAAGGAAAGTATGCAGGACAAGGAAATCCTGGAGTAGAAAAAGAGGCAAGGGCTGCCAGGCTTACAAGGGAGCTAATAAAGAGAGCTGCCCAAAACCAAGTCCAGTGTGGAGGTGTGGCTACAGACCTTTTCTCCCCAGGGTCCACAAAAGAAATAAATCAAAACAAGTCACCTGTATTCAATAAACTACATGCAATAATTAATTAAAGAAAAAACAATAAGTACCCCAAATATTTTGATCCATCCATGTCAGCATCATTTACATTATAAAATACCACCAGCTAATTAAACAAAATTTAATTTTATTTATTGCAGTTTAGAAGCTTAGTTGACTTAGAGACTTTTGATTCAACTGTGTGCACAAATATATACTTTAAAATTATATTTAGAGTACTAACTAGCATTACACACGCCATGAGATAAGACAATTTCTTGTAGCTGACTTGGAAATTTTAAAATACTTTAGCTGACTCAGAAAAACTGACAAGTTGAGGCCAGTTTACCAATACAACTGTTATTGAATGGACTTGTAAAAAAATTATTTTAAATAATCAAAAGTCTAAATATTTTTTAACCTGTCTCTTTAATGCTGATAACACAACTAACTTGAAGTCACTGTAAAATGATAAGTCAGTTTAAAAAAAAAAAAAATTATCACAAAATTTTCATCGAGATTTTGTCAAAGTCGGAAACCATCACCAGATGGAATCCCAATATAACGGGAGTTGGAACAAAATCTACACATGCAATCAAATGACTTTATCAACAACAAATACAAAATACAACACAGGAAACAGGGTGGCCTCATTATCTTTTCCATTTCCCCTCTGTACTCATAGCCACAGGTACATCGTCAGCCTTCATATTCTTTATACACAACAGGCAGGCCAGGCCAGTATGTTCTGGGTCGACATTGATGCTCTGTATCTTACCATCATCAATTACTAATGAATATCTGGAAACAAGTATCAAGCAAAATATATAGAAATTTATAAAAACATCCTTTGCTGTAATTACCTATTTATATAAAATTGATTTTTATACAAGCTATTGACATTTGTTATATGTTATTATGAATCAGAAGAAATTTAGGGTTCGGTGTTGTTGAGTTGGTAAAGCTTATGGTTGCTAAACCGAAAAGTCTCGAGTTTAAACTCTGGGGCAGATGAGGCTCGTTAGCTGGGGACAACCACTCTTATGGGAGAGACAACTCCAAAATCAAACAACTGCTGCCTGGTAGTTTGTTCTTGGTTGGACAAAGGCTATGGAAGCAAATCCAAAAAGAAAAGCAAGCTGAAATAGAAGTCAACGGCCTAAATGGCGTATAACCATTTGACATGTATACTTAATTGTGTTGGAGGGGATCCCTTCCAGCACTAAAATTAAAAACGAAAAAGAAGAAAATTCATGAAAGTATGTTAAGTATGAAACTACTAAAAAATTAGATGCGGATTCCTGATTGTATTACTTAGGATTATTGCATTTAAACATTAGCGTAGATTTAGAGTAGGTTCCAATATGTTTACTTTCATTACCCTTCAAAATATAGTTTGTTTCCGTTGTTAAGGGATGAAAATGTAAAAAAAAGGTATACAAACTTCTGTTAAAATTCACATAAGGACTTTGTGTTCTATCGAACTGAGTCATAACAGTATTTCCGAGCCCCCACCTATAACTCACATTGCTACAATTACCAGAATTGAACAGAAAAGTTGTATCTTACTTTTGTGATCTTATTCCACCAAGCAACTGTTTGCAGTCTATCTCCATGCCAAGTGCTTTAGTGAACTCACCACGGGGGTCAGCTAACATTCTAATCTGAAAAATAGTACAGTAAATGTTGATTGCATATTTTAGAAACTACTACACTATTCACATTATTAGTTAAAACATTACTTACAAATAAGTTTTATTTTTTACCTTGAGAATCTTTAAAAATATAACATGACATAGTTTGAAAAATATAAATTAAAAAAAAAATATATAAAATATAACATGGCACAGGTTAAATGATATAATTATAAATTTCCAGTATATTTCTAAATAGTTGCTGTAGCAAAGCTGTAAGTGTAATAAAGAAAAAAGGTTTTTCTCAAAGTTTTCAAGATTCTTGTAAAAAATAAGAGTATAGACACAGGAAGAAACTAAACAAATATTAGAGGACACTTACTTTTCCCAAAGCGTTGGTGCTTTTTCCCCAAGCCTCCATTACAAACGGATCATTGACAGAAACACATGAAATCATGTATCCTTCTTCCTGATGGGAGTTAAAAAAAAACAGTCAACAATTTAATTCATTATTCTAAAAGCTATTACATCAAAATTTAACTCTAACAGCAATACTGGTGAAAAATCTCAACATCTTATTAAAATACTCGACCAGCCTTTCTAAAAGAACCCAATTTGTTAGCCAAGATAAAAGAAACTTTCAAATAAACAACAACAAAAAAATGTTAAAATAATTCTCCACAAGTTTCAATTAGTTCCTAAATAATTTCCCCAGTGCAATTCACTGTAATAAATAATAATGTACATTTATGCTTGATCACAGGTTATAAAAACATCTTTCAAAATTTGAGTAGCTCAGTTTAACTTACCTGAAACTTTTCATGCAGGGAAAGATAATCAGGAATATGTGACTGTAAAGAAAAAGTAATAATAAATTACAGGACTAAAAACAAAAATGGTACTGGCTTAATTGGTTAGAGTAAAAACTGAATCAAAGAGTATATAACTTTTTTTTTGCTACAATAAAATGCAGAAATTTGCACACATTTTAACACCATATTGTTAGAAAGTAAGAAAGAAAAAATATTCTAATTAAATTTCCTTTATTAGCTAAACACTATAACGGGCAAATAATATAAACTATTTAGACGAAAGAGAAGATAACTTACATTAGTACAACCAGGAGTGAAGGCCCCAACTACAGCAAACAATACACCTTTCTTTCCTTTATACAAATCAACTGCAGATATTGGGTTGTTGGGAGACTTCTCATACAAATTTACATTGGGAAGCTCATCACCCACCTGACAAAATAAATGAATACATATTAATAAGCCTAAAATAATTTAAGTTTCAATAATATGCTATATAGTCTCAGTAAGTCTGGAACATCAATTTTGATATTTGCTATACCATTTTATTATGTAGAGTTCTTTACAACTTTACTTTTACACATATGTAATAAGATTAAGATATAGGCCTAGTGAAGTATAGTGATAACAATATTAACCTAAAATAATACTATTTAGTAGGGTGTAGCTTAAGAAACTTTATTATTGTTCAAGCTGACTTAAACAATTAAAAACTACATTTATTTACCTTTAATTTGAATTTTATCAATTTTATTTATCAAATTTAATTGATAGCCTAGAAGAAGTTTTGTGAAAAACGCGTTTGTTTTTAAATGGCTACTCAATGATACTGTGGGTTAATTTTTAAGCAGTGTTGTTGTGATGTGATTGACCATTCATATTTTTGTGTCGTCTGCTAGATTTCTTCCTATTCAACTACATGGCATGCAAAATGGGCGGGCTTAGTTAGCTGTTGTCGCGATCAAATTATTTTTGAAGGTTTTGTTTTTACCCTGCATGATTGTTTATAATTAATGAAATTAGTTTTGTATGACAATATATAATTTTCTATAGTTTAAAGTATTTTTGAGTATGTTTACAACAATATTACATAAAGCAATGCACATTTTGCTTACTTTTATGTTCTGCTTGATACCCTCAGCGATTAGACAAAAAAAATTTACTAATTGCAAGTTTGCATCAAACACTAATCATCCATTGTTAAAAATAGATCGGTATTGTTAAATAATATGCAAAAATAATGATTAGGCCTATAGGCCTAAGTATTACCTACATATTTCTGAGATGACCATGAAATATTCTTAAAAAACGGAATCACCGTATCGTCGTATTTGACTGCCATTTATACCATGATGACAGTAAAAAAGTAGGTCAAAAGACAGGCTAAACTACTACTAGATCTACTACTAAAAAAAGTACTAGATTTTCTACTAGATCTAGATTAGATCTAGATACTAGAATCTCTAGTCTAGATTAGTAACAGTAACTTGAATGACACAAGTTTATTTCTCAAAACAAAAAAAAACAACTGACTAGATTCTAGATCTAGATCTAGTTCTAGACTAGAGGTCTAGAGCTAAATCTAGAATCTACTAGATCTAGAATAGGCCTACAGTCTAGATCTAGAATCTAGTTTTTAGGTTCAAAATCACAAAGAAAAGTGACAAACAAAAGTGAAAAGTCAGAAGTCATCAGAACCCAGCCCAGACTCACTGGACTCACTGATCACTCTCATCACTCTGTGACTGTTGTGAGTCTCACTTCAACATTACCTGCACTTTATACTTTGACGAATATAATCTGCTATTTTCTTGTTTAATTGTTATAATAGGTAACAATTTTGAAAGTCGTTTGACGGAAAAAGAGAAAATCCAGTACGGTGTAATTGAAGTCATTCTCTATCTAGGCCTGCGAGTCAGTGAGTTGTTTTCGTTTCAAGTAAGGATTACGAAATTTTAATTATACTGCCGAAACATTAGGGAATACATTCGTACTGTAGGTCTTCTTTTAGTTATTAATAACTTATTAATAACTTATTTTAAAATAATATAGACCTGCTTTTAATATAACTAATATATGCCAATCTTTAGACCTAACTATTTTTGTATGGCTCATATTGATATAACCACACATATTATTACTTTGTAAAGTATAAGTCAAACCGCGTTGCTACACTACAAGTTACTTGATAAATGAAATAGGGCCTAGAGTCTAGATAAATATTTTAATAAGCAACTTGAACATCGTCTACTGCATAGGTTTATTCATTATAAAATCTGTATTATTTTTAATTTTAAAAATGGATTCTTATCAATGAACAGTGAGCCAAAGTTGATCAGAAAGACACATTTAACAAGAGGAATTACCGACGATTGATGGCAAAGTAATGACATCTACATAACGCTGTTCAAACATGAACATTGTTTGTTTTTGTTTGTTTATTGTTATTTTTTGTTAAGGAATATATGTTTTCCTGTTCTATTTAGAATTACATGTTAATAGTAATTAAGAAAGATGTAATAGTTTTAAAATTTGTAGGCCTAGTCTGAAACAGTTTTTCTATTAAAATACGGCATCAGGGGAGGCTAGATTTTTATTCGAAATTGAAGTAAATAATTTCTGGGTTCCTTCCCTTTATATGAGAGTCGCGTTGCGTAAACTAAAACTATGCGCTAAAAATGAAACAGAAATTGACATTAGAAAATTAACAGATATAGATCTTAATACGTTATCGGACAGGAGAGCGTGGGATTGCTTACTCCAGAAGTCCCGAGTTCAAACCCCGGGGGAGATAAGGCTTGTTAGCTGGGGACAGTGACCCATATAGGAATCACCATCTGAATCACCGATTGAAGACCAGAGTTTCTTCCAGGCATCTTCCAGAAAGTCTACCGCACCCCACCCGAACGAGAAGGATTTTATATAATAAACATACACTTTTACTACAATCAAGTCAAACATGTTTGAACATTTTGCAACAAAACACCCAAGGGCACTAACTCATGTTTTCCTATTGTGTGGCTCTAGACTATGGACTCTACAACAAAGAAACAGCTAAAAGCACACATCAAAAGCTGGCATCCAGACAACTATCAAGCACACAACGAAGTCTACTGAAGGCAAGACTCAAACAACGAATTAACATAAAATAACAGAGACGACGTAATCGTTCAAAAATGATATATAAAGCTGTGAGGAATTTTAAAAATTGAACAATGAAGTGTGACTGATTATAACCCAACTACACAACAACCCCATAATCTACATACAAAACCACTGACCATAACCCACATACATACCACTGACCATAGCCCACATATATACGACTGACGATAGCCCACATACACGCCACTGACCATAACCCGCATACATACCACTGACCGGTGACAGGACAAATGATCTCAGGACAAATGATCTCAGACAAAATATCTCAGACAAAATATCTCACGGACAAATGATCTCAAGACAAATGATCTCAGGACAAATGATCTCAAGGACAAATGATCTCACGGACAAAAGATACCAGGACAATATATATCAAGACAAATGATACCACGGACAATTAATCTCAGACAAAATATCTCAGACAAAATATCTCACATACACACCACTGACCATAACCCACATTCATACCACTGACCATAACCCACATACACACCACTGACCATAACCCACATACACACCACTGACCATAACCCACATACGCACCACATACACACCATTGACCATAACCCACATACACACCACATACACACCACTGACCATAACCCACATACACACCACTGACCATAACCCACATACACACCACTGACCATAACCCACATACACACCACTGACCATAACCCACATACACACCACTGACCATAACCCACATACACACCACTGACCAAATACACATGCACACAACTGGTCAAAACGTAGGGTTTCCCGAAAAAAAAATGCGCAGTGGAAAAAAAACGAAACCGAAAAATGCGCAAGCAGAAAAAATGCGCAAATATAAATTCATTTTATGAATGCAATTTCATTTGCTTATTTATCGTAAAAAAAATATTTGATTGGGGTACAATTTACATATGGGACGGAGTGGCCTAGCGATAGAGAGCTAGACTACTAACCCGTAAGTCTCAAGTTCGAATCCGGGTTCATTTCAATAGACCGTCCCTGAGTGCACACAACTGTGATGGGTACCTAACTCATGTTAGGGAAAGTAAAGGCGGCTGGGCATAGTGCTGACCACACTATCCTTTCAAGTTTACTTCCTTTTATCTTATTTCTCAATTTTGTTTCTTATTCGTTAAGGCACGACCCAATTTGGCCATGTCTTAAAATATTTTTTTTCTCATTACTTTCCAACGCTCAGCAAAGAATATTCCAGAACTCGATTCTAGCTTGTTTACTAATGTTCTTTTCCAGGAACCGACCACGACCCGGATGTGCCAAACACGACTTGATGAGCAGAGAACTATTTGTCGAAGTCCTCACAACATCCGTATATTACCTCCCCCTGCCCCGCCCCCAATCTTCTCCTTGGTAGTATCGCCCCATCCAAACTGTTCTATGAAATTGTAATTGATTTTTGTGTTGTTGACAATAAGGATCGTTTTTTTAAAATAAGTCTAAAAGAGAAGAAAAGAAGAACATAGAAATATAGAAATATTAAAGTTTGAAGTTTTTAATCTCCCCTCCAACAGGTACAGGGTTTGTTCAGACAACTTTTATCAGGGGTGGGGGGGGGGGCACTTGAAACTTTTCGAAAAGCGGATTATAGTTTAGTATATATATATATATATATATATATATATATATATATATATATATATATATATATATATATATATATATATATATATATATATATATATATATATATATACTGGGCTGACGCTACCTATAAGGCGAACTAGGCTGTTGCCTAGAGCGCCATTCCTCTGGGGGGGGGGGGGGGCGCAAAAAGGTTTAATCGATATTATCAAAAAGTACCTAATAATTAATAACTTTGATTATCTTTTATTATCTATAGACAGGGTAATAAACAAAGGAGTAGATATCTATTATCTAATTTTTAAGGTTGATTTAGTGATCGCTCGAGTACATGACGGGGCGTTCCGAAACACGTGCAATTTTGGTTTTTAATAGGGATTGTAAGTCTCGTTTTCTCTGACTTTGAATTAGAAATCTGTTCTGATGTATAGAGATTTGTAATTTGCGAGGTGTTCAAAATATTGTACTTGTTTGGTAAGTTTTGATGAATTGTTTTGATTTGGGAGTAACGGCCGTTTAGGTACAAAGTATCGAAGTGTTAAAGTGTCGTGTTTTTTATTTGTCTGTTGTGTAGTTGAAGGTCTAGTGGAATGATTGGTAGTAGAGAAATGAGAATGTAGGTGATTAAGTTGCTCTGGAGTCCGGGACTATCGAGCCTTGTGGTATTAAGGTATCGAATTGTGTTGACTGTTAATGTGTAGCAGTAGGTCCAGTTAAATCGTTGTTGATTGGGAGTGTCGTTTGTAGAGCTTAGTGAAGTTAGTTGAAGTGGTGTCGTAGTTCTTGAGCATCGAGTCTAGTTATGTTTAGGTATCGAAGTTTGATGTGTTGTGAATGTAGTAGAGTATATCGAGTAGTCGAGTTTATCGTAAGTTAGATTATTTCTATCAGGACTGAACACACTTCAAAGAAAGGTAGGCGTTCTTTAGCTGAAAAATCGTTACTGTTTTAGGAATCTATATTACCACTTTTAAAATATTAATATATATATATATATATATATATATATATATATATATATATATATATATATATATATATATATATATATATATATATATATATATATATATATATATATATGTATATGTATATATATATATATATATATATATATAAAATTATATAACTATAATTTTAAAAATTTAAAATACTTTATCAATAATTACAATAATGTCTTAAACAGTTCTCCGTATTTGACTAATTATACAGGCGGCGCCTTATTTAGGGGATAAAAACAAAAAATTTTCCTTGGAGTACAGAGTTAAACTGAATATAAATAACTTGAATGTCATCAAGTTTGAATAGAAGCATGTTATAATAAAATTAACGTGTTTAAACTTTTAAACAAAACCTGTAGTTAAGTAGTTAATAAAAAATAAATATATTGTTTTGACACGGTTGCATAGTTAATATAAAACATTTATTATAATTATTACGTAATGAAATTTATATCGTTTTATTGTGTTTTTCTAGCATGTCTTAGTTACACTTGGTTAATTTAGCTATTCTTGTGAAAGTTATTTCCCTTGCATTAAATTTTGGTATTTGGGTTTCCGAATGGGAGATAATTCGTTTGCCTAACTTCGTTTTAAATTCCAGCACCTTAGGTTGATCTCTTACATATAAATACAACTTAAAGTTATTATTTGCTTTTGTTAAAATTATATAGAGCAGAAGTTCCAAACAAAAAAGGTTGGTATGTTTTTTTTAGCATTATCCAATTGAAGTAACGTCATACTTTTGCATTATAAGAAAGCAATGTTAGAAAACTAGTCCTTTAGCCGTTATTTCGCTTTTAGAAAATGGATTTAATACATTGTATTAAGAATCGATCAAAATACTCTATGACTCTATCTTGACAGAGTTCTGACAAGAATTTGGAAAAATATCGATGTTTTAAGAAAAATACAACAGCAATTATGAGGAGGGTTGTAGGCTGAGGTGTGACGTAATTTTTTTTTGGGGGGGGGGGTCTGGCTTTTTGTGACGACGTGTGACGGAGGGGAAGGGGGGATGGTATAAATCGTCAAAAAAGCGTGACGTCAATTATGGATGACCCCTAATGGATTCATATTTAACAATTGTAGGCTGGAATCTATAACATTTATAACCTTTAATTTTTCAAAAGCAAAAAACAAATCGTTACATAATCATACGATATAGACATTTTACAATTATAACTA